GCTCAGATTCAGATTCAGATGATAAGGATAGAAGGCTCTTGTGGCCTGTGTTAATCCTTGCAAAGTATATCTCTGCAGAGATCTAACTTCTCTTTGAAAGCGTTCACCGATGGAGCTGATACTACTGAATCAGGTAAGGAGTTCCAATCGTTGACCACTCTGTGAGAGAATCTAAATTCTGCACGTATTTTAATCGTCCTTGGTTTGAGCACCTTTTTGCGGTGACCCCGTAAATGTATCCTAGAAGGGGAGAAAAGGTTAGAAAGGTCAGTTCCTAAATCACCCTTAAGTATACGGTATGCTAAAATTAAGTCGCCTCTCTTCCTTCGGTATGATAACGGGAAGAGATTTAAATGCTCCATCCTCTTATCATAAGGAAGGTGTGAGATACCACTAACTAATTTTGTTCCTACTCTCTGTACTCTTTCCAGAATATGTGCCTCCTTTTTGAAGCATGGACTCGTCGCTTGTATGCAGTATTCTAGATGAGGCCTGACATATGTTGCGTAGAGTATTTGGAACATGCCCTCGTCTAATCGTTTGAAAGCCCTTCGAATTGCCCATAGCATTCGAAAAGCTTTAGCTGCGGCTGCATTGCAATTTGCAGTTGTTTTCAAATCGTTGCTGACAATGATTCCTAGGTCCTTCTGTTCTTTAACATCAGGTAGTTCTGCATCCCCTAGGGAGTACGACGTATAAGACTTCTGACCTAAGTGCATTACCGCGCTTTTCCTAGCATTCATTTCCAAACTCCATAGGCTTGACCACTCAGCTAATTTATCTAAGTCATTTTGTAGGGCCAACCTATCCTCGTTATTGTTTACAGTTTTCCATACCTTAATGTCATCTGCAAATAATAATGAAGATGAAGAAAGAATCCCTGGTAATTCGTTAACGTATAATAGGAATAGCAATGGACCTAATACAGTTCCCTGGGGCACTCCACTGGATACTGCTTTCCATCCTGATAGTACACCATTAACTCTAACCTTCTGCCTTCTATCCATTAAGTAATCTCTAAACCACTCACATAGGCATTGGTCTAGTCCGAAACCTTTCAGTTTACTAAGGAGACCTAAGTGGGATACTTTGTCGAACGCCTTGCTAAGATCAATAAAAACCACGTCCAACAGATGGTCCCTATCTCTGGCCTCAACCCAGTCTTCCCTAGCCAATAGTAGGTTTGTCAAGCAGGATCGTCCTGGTCGGAATCCATGCTGTTCCACAGCCAACAAGCCATGTGTTTCAACATAAGCTAATAGTTGATCCCTTATAATAGTTTCCAGTACCTTTGCAATAATGCATGTCAGACTTACCGGCCTGTAGTTAGATACCAATTGCCTATCCCCGTCCTTGAAGATAGGGCTTATAATGGCATCCTTCCAGTCCCTGGGTAGCTTAGCCTGCGTCAGAGACATTTGGAAAATCTCCGTAAGCGGAATATATATTATATCCGCCAAGGAAAGTAACAACTTAGGGTGGAGTCCATCCGGCCCAGGTGATTTACCTGGCTTCAGTTTAGACAGTAGTTTCAGAACCTTTGTGTGCTCTACCACAATTGAGGGCATCTGAGTGGCGATGGCAGTGACCTCGCCATATCCCTGGGTGGTACTATCAGACGAGAAGACGTCACAGAAGTATTCAGAGAGGTTTTCAGCCTTCCCTTCGTCTGACTCAGCCGCTTCTCCACTAATGGTTATGAGTGACGGTATACCACTGCTAGTTTTAGTCCTACGTTTAATATACGAGTAAAACCTTTTTGGGTAATGAACGCAATCTAGTACTAATCGTCTCTCGTACTCTATACGACTCTTGTTAATCGCATACTTACAGAGGTTTCGAATTTTGCGGTAGTCTTTCTGGAAGTTTTCCCTTCCTGTCATAACAAATTGGTCCCATAAGTTCTTTCGCCGTCTTAATAACCTCCTTATTTCACTAGTGATCCAAGGAGGTTCATGCGACGGCTTTCGAGGAGTGTACCAAGGTATAAAAGGTGAAGTGACACGATCTAGTGTATTCCTAAATCCTACCCAAGCTTCCTCGACAGTCTGACTTGTATCAACTGACCAGTCAACCACAGTTGCTGCGTTCCGGATTCCTTGTATATCCGCTTTCCAAATGTTTGGACGAGCAGATTTTGGCCTGTGCATGAGAGAATGAATCCTAAACGTAAAAGCAATGACTATGTGGTCACTGCTGCCAAGCGGCGGGAGGCACCTAATGTTACCAACGTCCTCCTTCTGGTGTGTCAATACCAAGTCTAGAGTAGATGGATCATGTTCAGGGTGATACCGTGTTGGTGCATGCATATGTTGCACGAGTGCACATTCAAGCACTGTCAATGTGAGCTCCCTATTGAAACAGGTATACAAACTAGTGGAGTTTAATTCCCCCCAATTAATATGTGGAGCGTTAAAGTCGCCAACAATCAGACACCTATTTCTACTACCCCACGCCCTCAAGTGATTTAGAACGAAGTCATCAGCTTGGCTAGCAGGACTTCTGTAGATAACTCCGATCGTTAAAGTGCCTTTGTTTAAGTTAATGATGCAACTTGCGGCTTCACTGGTGCCGCTGTCATGAGCTTCTGACAACGTTGACCTGATCCCTATGTCATCCCGGATGTAAAGAGCAACCCCCCCACCTTTCCGACTACTTACTCTGTCTGCTCGTATGCAGATATACCCAGGTATGAGTGGAGTTAAGTCTACACCCACTAACAACCACGTCTCAGTGATAGCAATTACATCAGGTTGTAGTCTTTCAGATAACTCTCCTAATTCGGCGAGCTTATTCCTAAGACTACATGCGTTCGTATAGCACACCGAAACACCTACGTGTTCACCCGGCTTATGAAGAGAGGTCTCGGCAGCATCGGTTTCCGAGACCTCACCACCCGAAAACCCAATAGTTTGAGGTCCTTCTCGCCTTTCTCTAGCCTGGCCTTTAGTTCAGCCACGGCTTCTCTTCTTTTGATTCTATCTTCCAAAGGCCAATCAGGCCTTATTTTTAGACTTTTGTCGTTGACTTTGAACGCGTTGTCGAGGATGGTCCTCCTCTCTGTTTCGTTCCCTAAAACTACCTTAAGTAGTCGTCGAGGAGTTCCTGTAGCATCAGGGTTTCGTTTTCCGATCCTGATAGCCTTTCGTACGTGTACTCCAGTTGTTTTTTCGGGAAGTATTTCCCGGAATATGGAGCTGATCGCCTTCAGATCATCTGCATGTCGGGCAGCTGGATCTGTGTTCTTAGATTCCTCCAAGTTCCAGATGATTATACTGTAACTAGAGTCCGTGGGTTTCTGAGTTTTGCTGGAACTAACAGTCGTCGAGACCTTGTTGGTAAACTCGGCTACTGTTTCTTTCCTAGTTTTGTTTAGCTTCTTACCTTTCGGCAGCAACCAAGTGGAGTCCGTTTCTCCCACTCTGTTTTCGCCGCGACTAGAAGCCATTCGTGCACTAGACACGCTGCGCTTTGGCGTTGCTATTTCACAGGCTGGTTTTGCCATGCTGGCACTACTTGCCCTTCTGGATTTCCGTTGCCTTTTGCGCTTTGCAGCAACAGATGTCTGGGCATTTTGTGCTTCTTTCGCTTCTGAGACTTCAGGAGGTGATGCACCCTGAATCTTACAACTATGTCCTGAACCGCCATCCTTGGCGAAGGTTTCTGGTACAGGCTTTTCAACTATGTCTTTCGACAATTTCTTGGACATCAAGAGTCCTACTGCCTCTTGGATGAGGACATCTAACGGGTTGCTGCAAAATTTGCACAGCCATGGAGATGATGGCTTGCAACATCTCTTATAGGCTACTGGTGTTAAACCAGTGCAAACTTTGTGGAACCAAAGGCTGCAGTTGTCACACTGCATCCCATCATCCACCGGAAAGTGGCAGTCCGGTCGACCACAATTGTTAGTTGGGGCCATAATTTTAATTTGTTACAACTATACAGTTATATATACGTCAAAACAGTGAGGTTAATGCCAAACAAATACACACTTATATATACGTGTGACAGCTAGGTAAATACCAACCAAAACACAAAATGTGAATAAAACAGACAACACTTGAACTAAATAAATCAGTTAAAGTGAACTAAAAGCTTCTGATGTGGTTTAAACAACAAAAGCAGAATTTACTTCACAACGTAAAAAATGCCACTCTCCTTTTTCAAAGCACGGCTTCCCTGATGTCAGCTCATGATTAAATCCTCCATGCAATCAAACAAAATCCCTACAAAAACCAATACTTGAAAATTCATCTGATGCTCACTAGCGACTGGCCCTATTCAGGCAGTTAACCTGGGGTTCTAGTGGGAAGCCGTGACCAGTAGGGTACAGCAGGTCGAAGATGAGGCAGTAACTCATCGAAGAAGACATTGCGAAGTGGTCTCGCTATGTCGTGAACTGGCAGAAGTTAGAATTCAAGGACCATTGGATCGGGTCCCAGTGGCTCAATGGTCTACGAGCTCGCCTTGTAACCAGAAGGTCCTGGGTTCGAATCCCGGTGGGTGCGTACTGCTGAGGAGTCCCAAACTAGGACGAAACGGCTGTCCAGTACTCCCAGGTTTTCCAGTGGTTCTCTAACTGATGTCAGCTCATGATTAAATCCTCCATAAAATAAATTTATCAATTAGTATCTATCTATGTCACAACGATTCCAAGATAAATCGTAAAAAAACAACATTGAAATACAGGCATGATCAATAACCATCAAGAAAATACCGCACGTATAACCTAAATTAAAGAAAAACACAAGAACCCACCGGTTCGTTGACATCGCAAGCAACCGATAGACCAAACAACGAATTGTACGACACACAAAGCCTAGTACATGCACAAACAAAGAAAAACAAAGCGTTACAATAGTCTAACTCACGTTTATAGTCATCACATATACTGGCAAACGAAGCAAACACAACCACGCCAAGATGGCACCCAACAGCACGCACCCAAGGACAATTCAAACTCCAATTGACCGCCACTGTTCTAGCCAATGAAAGACGAAAGAACCTGAATCGCGGAAAATATAACACGTTATAACGTATATCCTCACCCGTTATACCTTTTCCTTCACTATTCCATGGGTATGAAAGAAGACTTCAGAAAAGAAGCAGGTGTGCTCTATAAGAACTGCCTACAATGTTTAGCAGAACGACAAGGGACTGGAAAACAAATCAGAAGTCATTCAAAATTTATTGAATGTCCAAAGTTTGAGGACGTTTTGTAACCTTGATAACGTCGACCTTGGACCACATATATCTGTGAGATGCCATGAACGATACTACTACTGCAGGAATTCTAAATATTACACATGTAACAGAGGCTAAGAAGTTAGATGACCAATTTCTTTTTGCCACATCAGCATATTCCCAAATCATCGCTACTCTATGTGCACTGCTTTCATGCGTGATAACATTTCACCAAGTAAATTATCTAATGCTATTTCGAAAAGTTCAGATGTATTTCCACCTTAAGAACTATACATGTGTCGCTGAACAACGGTATATAATAAGGATTTTAGTTCTGGTTCCAGCGTATGCCATCTATTCATTTCTAAGTATTATGCTGGCTGTACATGCAATGCTGGATAGTATCTACGTAGATTTCATACATGACATTGCAGAAGGTAGTTGCATCATATGTTCTAATTGTTTAAGCATTCGCAATTTATAGTTTTCTGGCTTTGTGCTATCAATATCTCAGAGGGGAAGGGAACATAATGCTGGAGCTCACTGGGAAAACTATCAAGTAATTTTTATTTTATTTCGGTCTAGGACTTCAGATTCAGCATACTTTATGGTACTTGCTGTTTTGCTGGGAAACCATACACTATCCTTTTTCTCCGATTTTGTAAGATAGTAAGTGCACCCCTAATTTTATGTGATTGTGCATATGCTGCCTGAACAGGATAAATTTTAGGTGACTGGAAGCTTTGTTTTTATTTTTAGGCTTTTGGATTAAATGTTAATGTAACCTAGGTTAAACATTCTTTCTGATTTTACAAGCATTCGCAACGTTTTGTATTCCTTGATTATTTGGTCAAATACGTGGATACCTAGCAAGAGGTCTCAAAGTATAGTATTTCTACTTCTTAAAGTGGCTTAAGTGATATTGTTTGACAATTAATTTTCTTGTTAAAAATTACTGGACAGTCAGCTGTTATTGGTCGACCTGACAGGGGTGTGCACTTTTGGTAAGGCTTTTTAATTGAGTTGTTATCTTTGTCACTTCCTAAGACCACGGATTATTTAGGCTTTATTCGCTGGCGCAAATTATTTGATACTCCATCTCTGGGGAGCTGAGTGTAATGCCGGGAATTCATCCTTCGCAGATGGCTCTTGTGCAATTTAGTTTGAAATTAACTCGCTGGTTTCGCACGTTGTTGTTAGTGATGTTGAATCAGTCCCCAGCACAAATAGTATATGTTCTTGTTGCCTCTACTGATTTGAATCGTGAGTTTTTTCTATGTCTGAGGATTTGTTTTAAAAGTAGTTAGAATTTTTGTCAGCTTGACTCCTTCCTACCGAGGTTAGTGGCTTCACCTAGATCATCTTCCAACTGTTTAAGACTGGCTACCAAACAGAATTTTTGTGAAGTGTACTTACAAATGTACAAAGTATATATCTGCATGTCTGTTAAGAAAACGGAATCCAAAAACTTGTCTTGCGAGTTATTATAACTATAGACCGGCTAGACTTTATGTAGACTTTATTGTTGGTTTTTGAAACACTTATTTCCCCATACAAATATAAAACAGGATTTAGAGAATTCATCAAATCTTGGTAGACTTTCAGCTGAATACTCTACATATAGGGATATATATACCATTGTAATTACATTGGGGCGTATAAGACCGATAAGATATCAAGAATTTCGAACTACATGTTGGTGATAATAGTAGTAATGAGACTGTTTGGGTAATTTTACTTATATCTTTAGAGTATTTATTAATGAGCTCTGCAGAATATCCATTCTTGGATAAAATATTCTTCAGTCTTTATTTCATGTTCATTTGTACTGTCAGAACAGATATTTTGTGCTTTATTGAAGAGCGTTCTAGGTCCTTTTTATGTTGGGTCGGAAAAAACTTTTAGTTCGAAATTCTTGATATGCTATCCATCTTATATGCCCCAGTATAATTCTAATGGTACATGTATGTGTATATATACTCCATTATGGATAAAATTTTATTTTGATAAAAATCAGTGTTTTACACTAGTATTTACTGATAACGTTTCGAGCACAATTTATTGCTCATAATTATGTCAAAGTACTCACACAACTTTCTTGCTTCATTTATATACATGAATAAAAATTTATTAGACATTTGAATAAAATCACTATAAGATAGAGTACATTCGGAAATAATATTAGTGTTATCAATAAAATACATTAAGATGGGAAATAAGATGTTTTTATAATAAAAATAAGTAACTTTTTACAATGTTTAAATATGAATTGAATACATTTCAACATTATTTATTGTCCTCTGATTCGACTGGTAGTAATAATATCTTCCATACCTCTGGTATTTGCGTTGAGTCACTTCTGTTCCATGTGTTGAGTGACTCAATGAACAAGTATTTAGTAATCAATTTCTCTACCTACTCATATTACATTTTAGAATTTTGACAGTCCCACCCTCTTCTGTGGTTGTTTTATCCATAATGGAGTTAAACTCCACCACAGTGCCCAAGTTTTATCCTTATATCAATATACGCATATATATCCCTGTATTTGGAGCATCCAGCTGAGGAGTTCTACTGAGATTCTATGAATTCATCAAATCCTCCTTTATTTTCGATGTATAGCGTGGGTTTGAGCTTTTGGATAGCTAGTGCCCCGGCTATGCCCAGATTTTTACTCTCTTTGATAGGTTTGATCGAATTTTGTATATTATTTTGAATTATTTTTCGAATGGCGCAGAATGTCCTGAATTGACCGGATCTTCTGCCACTGAACCATATACCCGTTTTCGTTCTCCTTTTACTAGCCAGGCTGGATAGTGTTCACTAGCCCGTTTTTCAATTTGGCGCATGGTACGGCATACTTTATTAGCTTTTGTTGCTTGCTTTATTATTTATTATTATTGTATCCTTTAGTTCCTAGAGGAACATAGGGCTTCAGCTGCGCACCTCCATTGCCTTCGGTTTTCTGACAACTTTTTCACCCCGCTCCAGGTCTGTCCACATGCTTTCATCTCCTCCTCACATGACCTCCTCCAAGTCACCCTTGGACGACCAACTCGCCGCCTCCCTTTCGGGTTCCACTCGAGGGCTTGTCTAGTGATGTCACTTGATGGTTTCCTCAGCGTATGGCCAATCCATCTCCATTTCTTCCTGTCTATTTGTTTCACAATCGGTTCCTGCTGTTGGTTCGCTCATTGCAGAGATCCCTGTTGCTGATCCTATCTGGCCAACCATCTGATCTTGAGTATTGAGCGAAGACAACTGTTAATGAAGGTCTGCAGTTTGTTTGAGATGCTCTTTATGACGCGCCAAGTCTCTGATCCGTATAGTAGCACTGACTTTACATTGGAGTTGAAAATCCGGATGTTAATTTTGATGGTGAGTGCTGTTGACCTCCACACAGATTTGAGAGTAATGAAAGCTTGTCTTGCTTTTCCGATTCTGGCTTTGATATCCTCGTCAGTTCCGCCTGTAGTTGAGACGATGCTTCCGAGGTAGGTGAAGGAGGCTGTTTCTTTCAGGTTCTTCCCACTTATGCTGATTGTTGTCTGTTGTTGTTGTTGCTGTTGATGTTGGCTAGGAATCTTCATCACCTCTGTTTTATCTGTGTTCACCTGAAGTCCTATCTTTGATGCTTCTTCTGCCAACTTGTTACTTTTCACTTGCATATCTTCCAGTTTGTGGGAAATCAGACATATATCATCGGCGAAATCCAGATCCTCCAAGTCTTTTGTGTCAGTCCATTTTATGCCTGTTCCCTCGTTGGTTGCCGTTGTCTGTCGCATTATCCAATCAATTGCAATCAGGAAGATCATTGGTGATAGTAGACAGCCTTGCCTCACTCCTGTCCTCACTTCGAAGGCTTCCGTAAGTTTCCCGTTGTGGATTACTTGGCATACAGCATTGTCGTATAACTGTTGGATGAGATGTATAATTGTCGATGGGACCCTGTAGTCGCGAAGTAGTTGCCAAATGACCTCTCGATCGACGCTGTCGAAGGCCTTTTCAAAGTCGATGAAGTTGAGATAGAGAGGTGACTGCCATTCCAAGCTTTGTTCAATGATGATCGGTAGAGTGGCGATTTGATCAATACATGACTTGTTTCTCTTGAATCCAGCTTGTTCCGGTCGAAGTTTTTCATCTAGGGCGTGTTTGATTCTCTCCAGGATGATGCGGCTTAGTATCTTGCTTGGAATGGACAGGAGCATAATTCCACGCCAGTTTTTACATTGACTTAAGTCTCCTTTCTTTGGTAGTTTGAATAAGAATCCTTTCTTCCAATCCTCGGGTACTTTGCCCTCTTTCCACACCTTCTCCAGCAGTGGTGTCATCAAGTCCGCTGTTGTCTCTGGGTCCATTTTCAATGCTTTGGTTGAGATTCCATCTGGTCCTGGTGCTTTCCCAGCTTTTAGCATCTTGATGGCATTCAGGACTTCTGATTTCGTCGGGGGGTCAGTGTTCACTGGTAGTTCTGCTTCTGTTGTTGGTATTGTTGGGCGCGTTGTAGGTGGCGGACGATTTAGAAGTCTTTTGAAGTGTTCAGCCCAGTGCTTTCTCTGTTCCACCTCTTTGGTGATTGACTTTCCATTGTCGTCCTTTATTGGCTTAATCTGTGTCGAACTTTTGCCCGAAAGGTGCCTAGTTGTTTGGTAGAGTGTGGCGAGGTCTCCTTTGCCTGCAGCTTGTTCTGCTTCGTTTGCCATGGTTTCATAATATTTTCTTTTGTCTTCCCTGGCACTCTTCTTCACTCTTTTGTTCAGTGTATTGTAGCTTGCATTCAGCTCCTGTTTTTGTTGCTCGTCAGTGCACTGGATAATCTTTTGTTCCACTGTCCTTCTCTCTTCTATTAGTTTCCAAGTGTCCGTAGTGAGCCACTGTTTGTCCTGTCTCTTCTTTCTGCCTAGAACTTCTATGCAGGTTTGACTCCACACCGTTTTCAAGTTGTTCCAGTGCTTTTCGACGCTGACCTTTTCGCTGGTGTTGATTTGTGTCTCGGCTTTGTCCTTTATGCTTGCAATGAAGATGTCCTTTGTAGCCTGGTCCTTCAGTTTTTGAGTGTTGAACTTGGCTTGTGATCTATCTGCAGCTCCTGATTCCCTGAAAGCTTTTAATTTGATTTGGATTGTCCCTTGTACGAGATAGTGGTCTGCTCCTCTTCTTGCTTTTGTGTCCAGTAGGCTGCGCCTCCACTTCCTTGAGCTTGAGATGAAGTCGATTTGGTTTTTGGTTTGCCCGTCTGGTGACACCCATGTAGCCTTGTGGATATCTTTGTGCTTGTATACACTGCCACCAATCACTAGTTCGTTGAAGGCGCAGAAGTCGGCGAAGAGTTCTCCATTTTCATTCATTTCTCCGAGAGCTTCTCTACCCATGATGAGTTCCCTTCCTGTGTTGTCTGGTCCCAGTTTGGCGTTCATGTCTCCCATTAGTATTTTCATGTCGCCAGCTGGAGTATTGTCCATTGTTGCCTGTAGTTGCCTGTAGAATTCTTCTTTCTTTTCGAGGTCTGCGTTGTTTGTGGGTGCATAACATTGTATGATTGACACTTTCCTTCCTTTGGAGTTGAATCTGGCGGTCATTATCCTGGACGAAATCGCCTCCCATTGCATCAGGGCTTTCGTTGCCGTTGGTGACATCATGATAGCCACGCCCTCGGTGTGCGTGTGGTT